CAAACACGTGGCATTTTAATTTCTCCTGTGAAATACCAATCACAGACTTTTCTCATAGCACAGATATGAGGCCTAAGACTCAAATGTTTCAGGAAAGGAGAAGAAAAAACATTTTCCTCAAGCGGGAATCAAAATCAAAGGTTATCTATGGGGCAAACTATGCTGTAGAACAGTTTTTTCCCCTTGTATTACTCAGAAAGGATATTTTGTCTAGAAGAAAACTGTAAATAGTATATAAAATTAAAAAGATTTTTGAAGTATTTAAGGTATTAACCAAAGCAGATTCATCTTTCCCCCCCTTTGATTATAATACTGCAGACTTGCCTAGATGATACTCTAAACTAAAATTGAAATGACATTTTTATTCTAAGCCCATATTTTTACTTCCTTTCAGCTTTTGCTTTTTAAGCTAAAAAGTCTCTCATTCTTGCTTGGTACAATGAATTTTTTGCTAGGTAATTAAAAACCAATTGTGTTTAAACCTTTTGAGATACTTGGGTTTAAGCTTTATAACTCAGGACTTGGTTTCTAAAACCTCAAATTTAGCATCTCAAGGAAGAATAGTATCTATGGCATGTTTCTAAAAAATGTTTTGAAATGAAGTGATGGGCATTTAAAAATAGAATTCCGAGACTGCACCGCTCCCTCTCGTCTTTTCTTCAGTGGGGGAGGAGAATGACACATCTGCATTATGCTGCCAGAATGTTGGTGCCATGATTCTGTTGAGTTTCCCAATGTTGATGGGCGCTAAAAAGACCACTCATAATTGCAGCATAGCCACCATGAGCATGCAGTTCCCAATTGACATATTCAACTTAGAAATGGAAATGGCCAGCATACCTTGCTAACACCTTGTCACCAGTGCCTTCCTTCCCTGTTCCCACCCCCACAGTTCTGAACATTCTACTATACTCCTAAACATCACAGGCCCTGCCAACCTGCCAGAGCTCTAATTTAGCACCAGTGTCTTCCTGATGGCCACTCTCAGGGTGGTGTTGGCTAAGTTTCAGATTATAAGAACACTCAAGAATTAGAGGGGCATAGAGAACATGGGATTTTTTGGATTAGTCTTGAAGGCTAATATTCATTCTTGATGCTTTCCTTCTAAGAAAGCCTATCTCAAAATTCAAATAATTAACTTATAAATGAAACTTTGAGAAACGAAGCAACCCTTTGCTAGTTACAGCTGGTTTCCTGAAAAGTATCATGTTTGGTAAAATTATAATTGGGGTAAGGGAATTAGTGGGGGAAATCACACAATAAGAATTGCTTTAGGCCAGGCTCGGTGGCAACTTGGTGAGACCTCGTGTCTACAATAAAAAATTACAATAAAAAATTAAAAAAGTATCCAGGCATGGCAGCACATGCTTGCAGTTCCGGCTACTTGGAAGGCTGAGGTGGAAAGATCGCCAGAGCCCAGAAGGTCGATGCTGGAGTGGCTGTGAGTGTGACACTGCACTCCAGCCCGGGCAACAGAGTGAGACTCCAACTCAAAAAAAAAAAAATGACTTTAAGTATATTTTTTAAGCTTCACAGTAAATAAATGTTCTGAAAAGCATCTTCTTCCAAAACAAACCAATTTCATTGTTGTAAGCATTCATCAGCAGCAGCAAAGGAACACTTCTCTTAGAACATATCTTTTTTGGTGTTCATGAAACACTACTGCTGTGTCATGACTGCTTAGGCAGATATTCAAAGCTTAGTCAATGGGCAGACCACCTCTTTACAGTATTCAAGTTAGCAGTTACAGGCTTCAGCTATGTTGCAGTAGTCAAGAAGACGGTCACCGGTTTCTCTTTCAAGTAAGGACTTGCTGCCCAGCTGGAGGGAATGTGGCCAGTAGACAGCCTCCTGATGTCAGCTCCCTAAGGGTCCATCTCACTTGCAAAGAACCAGCTGCACACTGATGCTGATGGATTCTTAGAACAATTACCTAGCGGGGGAAGCCTATACTACAAGGGGCCCACCAAAAAATAATTACATGTTTTTGGGGATCCCCCCCCTTGTACACAGGTAGATTTCTCCTACATTATCCCACATGGTACATAGAAGACAACATAGTTACTGTTAGTAAGTTCTTTTCTGTATGAAGATTAAACTATACCTTGCCTACAGAATATACATATAAAAACTATATAAAATAGCACACATTCAGGTATGTATTCATTCGATATTACTGATTATTGGGCAACTTCTACACACCAAGCACAGGAGTTTGCATTCTAGTGATTGAGACAGACAATAATCACTTCAGTAATGAATACAATACCAGAGTCTGTGAAGAAAACAGCAAGATGAGAGGACAGAGAATGACTGGAGAGGCATCTCTTGTTCTAAAACCACAGGTAGGGAGGGACTGCTGGGATCCACACAGGTTAGGCTTGCAGTCAAGTACACATTTAGTAAGTCACTTTCCTCGATAGTATATATCATTCTTTTTCGGGTGGAGAATTCATCATACTCAACTTTACTAACATAATATTTCTTCTGCATTGTGAGTTCACCTGCTGCACGAAACATAAAATCTTAAATCTATGTTACTAACCTATATAGCAAGTCTGTCTTGGGGAAAGAGGAGCCTGAGCCATCATAAGCTCAGATACAGCTGTCTCAGGCAGATGGCTTTAGTGGGCAATATCATGAGCTTGCCAGGTTTTTTAAAATATGAAAGGATTTTCTGCCTCATTAGTACTCCATGGTTGACCATCCACAAACACCTGGTGTTCACACTTCTTCCTCTTGTGGAAATGTAACTATACGTAGTCTTAGCACTAAAGGACATATGTTACCTAATCTTTGTCCAAAGATTCTAATACTTAGATAATGCAAAAAGGCACAAGTTGAAGAAAAACCCTTCCTCATATAGTCTGAGATGAAAAATGTAAAACAGGATCAGTAGGGACTTGGAGTAATGGTAGAGGCAAATTACTTTGCTCCTTTCCAAAACTCAAACTACTTTGGAAGGAATCCCAGGTGGCCTCCACAGTTCTCTATTTACACCATCAATATAAGAATGAATAATACAACTGACTATCTCTGAGAATAACTGTGTATATATCTCTACTTATATTCTACTTCAGGAGCACTTTGTCATTACCATCTTGAATACATACGTTACGTGAACACCAATATCAGTGTATTTGCCAAAGGCAGGAAACAAACCATACCTACATCTTGTTGAACTCTTGTTATGAGGTAAAAGGAAAAAAAGTAACAGACGTGGAGTTTGAAGGAATAGTTCAAATTCAGATACTATAATTTATTAGTTTTTTAAAAGATTAAACTGTCCCAAGATTATAAATTTCAGTGTTTATATTTGTGAAATTGAGATAATATCTACCCAAATACCTTACAAGGTCAGTAAAAGGATGTGTTTTAAAGTACTCTTAGAACTACAAAATGATATGCAAATGTAAGGTATTATTATAACTGAAGTTTGTTTGGATTTAATATTAACATATTATTCTGATAAAATTTTCAATTGATAAAGAAAATCCTTCATTAATTTAAGAAGTAAATAATTCAGTACTTTCTGTGATACACTATGGGGAATACAAAAAACAACAGCAATCTCTGTTATAAAGGAGCTACAAATCAAATTTCAGGGGGGAATTTTGGGGAAAGATGTGGTTTTGGTTTTTGCCAACATTTACCGAGTACTTTCTATGATACTGATATTGGTTCTGTGCTTTACTATAGTAACTCTTTTAATTTTCAAAAACCCTATGAGAAAGGTAATATTTTTATCTCATTTTACAGGTGAACAAGATGAGGCACAAGAAGTTTGGAAACTTGCCCAGGGTTGGAATCCCAGTAATAAAGTCAAGTAACACACTCAGTGAGCCACGACACTTCATGACATCTCAAGTTAGGCAGGAAACACACATAACATACACATTACTAAAAATAAAAGACGAGAGTAAGCAATACTAAGACAGTAAATGACAAATGAAGAGATATATTGGGGAAGGGTAGATTAAGTAAAGCTTCATAATATGAAACCAAAATTAGATTCAAACTTGTTTTGATGATTCAGACAAGAAAAATTAAATAAAGGACAAATAATATTATATTACACATGTACTCCTTCGAAGATGCAATGGGTAAATACTTTATTGAAATATGTAATATTCATACAGAAAAATAAAAAATCCCATATATACATTTGAAACATCTCATTGGGTATGTACTCTTTTACATTGGGTATGTACTCTTTTACAGCACTGGATTTATTTGATAGTTAAAACAGCAAAAACAAACTGACTTTAAGCAATGTCTGATTTCTTATCCACTTAAGAGTCTCAATATAATCCATTTTATTTCAAAGAATAACAATTAAAATATTTTCCCATAATCAAGATAATTCAAACCTACACTATTATAATATAAATAACTTGAAGTAGAATAATTGATGTCAGCCAGGCTCAGTGGCTCAGCCTGTGATCCCGTGCCTTTGGGAGGCTGAGGGGAGTGGATTGCCTGAGCCCGCGGGTTCAAGACCCGCCTGGGCAGGCAAGACCCCATCTCTACAATAAATCCAAAAATTAGCCGGGCATGGTAGCACGTGCCTGTAATTCTGGCTACTCGGAAGGCTGAGGCGGAAGGATCGCCAGAGCCCAGCAGGTCGAGGCTGTGGTGGCCGGGAGCGGCCACTGCACTCCAGTCTGGCCGACAGAGTGAGACTCCAACTCAAAAAAAAAAAAAAAAAATAGAATAATTGATGTCTTTCATAATAAAAAAAAACTCAACAGGCAAACTATTTTCAGTTTGCACAAGAAGCACTGTGTTGACTTTCCATGGTATTAACAGGAGGCTGCCTCACTCACCTCTCTGGATTTTTATATTTGCTATAATTATAACATTTTATATATAGGAATGCAATTTTGAGAGCTACTTTTCAAATGGCATACAAAACAATGGTTTCTACTCATTTAAATTTCCAGCAGAACACAACATACACTGATTGCTTGTTGATCTTGTATGTATCTGATGAAACTTACCGAGCGATATGTCAGGGCCTTTAAAACGTTGAGATCAATAAAGTTGTCTTCATTATCTGTCTCCTCTTCCTTAGAAAAAGAAAATAATTTTAAAATAATTATTAAAGGTTATAATTTTTAAAATATATTTCCAGCTTTCACATAATAATATACACTAAGCTATACTAAGCTTAATATAAAATCTAATGCTAGAAAAGGTATTTAAAAACCTAGTGAATGCTGGTTGGTTGTGGGGACTCATGCCTGTTATTGTAGCACTTTGAGAGACCAAGGTGAGAGAATGGTTTGAGCTCAAGAGTAGGAGACCAGCCTGGGCAACATAGGGAGACCCTGTCTCTATCAAAACAAAACAAAACAAAACAAAAAACCTAGTGAATGCATGTATAAAGTAGGGCAAAGAATTACTAATAGCTCATTCCATTTTTTGTTTGTTTGTTTTTTTTTTAGTTGGAGTCTCACTCCATCACCCAGGCTGTAGTGCAGTGTCACACTCACGGCCACCCCAGTATAGACCTGCTGGGCTCCAGCAATTCTTTCGCCTCAGCCTTCCAAGTAGCTGGAACTTCAGGCGTGTGCTACCACACCCTGCTAGTTTTTTTATTTATTGTAGAGATGAGGTCTCACCAAGTTGCTCAGGCTGGTCTCGAACCCAGGGGCTCAGGTAATCCACTCATCTCAGCCTCCCAAAGTGCTGGGATTACAGGCTGAGCCACTGAGCCCTGCCCACTCATTCTTTGTTAAGGTTTTGATGGTACTGCTTAAATAGGACCTTTTTTGCAGTCACTGAAGAAAGAAAAAAAATGTGCGGGGGAGGAAGGAAGCCACTGCTATAAACCTACAGGTAAATACCAAAAAGAAAAAAAAAAAAGCAGGAAATAGCCCCAAGTGGCATATTCAAAATAAAGAGGAGTTAAGGGAAATTTTGAGGACCATGACTAAAATGGGCAAAAATGAGAGGCTGACAAACATAGAATATTCTCACTTGATCCAAGGACCAATCACTTTGATACATATTTTTGGCATCTCATCTCTTGTATGCTCAAATTTGATAAGGTAATGGTTACCAGTAGTGCTTGGTCCATGACCCTTAAATCTATTAAGAAGGATAGGTAAGGAGATTCCAAGCTAGTCCTCATCTACAGACCCACTGGTTGTGGGAGGTGGGGGTAGAAAGTGACCCTTTGAGAGGCAACCCCCTCCCCAATATACAGTAAATACGGAGTCTGAGCAGGTTCTATGAGCATGTAGGACAATATGTGAGCTCTCCTTTTCTTCAAATGTCTTTGTGATGACAAGTGACATAGTAGGTAAAACAAATGTAACAAGAATATCTCGATCTTAACGGCAAGGTAATAAAGCCAATGGAGTTTAGTCCTCAAGTCATATGATCTTATAAAGAAAAAAAAAACCCAACAAGTAAATATGAGTTAACACTTCCACAGGTAGAATTGTACAAAGCCATAGTGGTAGATTTCACAGATAATCCTTACTTTCAAGAATTCAGAAATATATAAGACACTGGTTCTCTAAGTGTGGTTTTGAGAACAGCAGCATCAGCATCACCTGAGAATTTCTTAAGATGCAAATTCTAAGGCTGTATCTCAGATCCACTCAGAAACTCTAGGGGTAAGGCCACTAGGGTAAAATAGGAGAACTATGTTAAATCTTGGAGAACTGGAAGGATTTTAGTAAAATAACAAACAATATAAATGTAGATTTTATACATTGAAGCAACATTTACATTTTTAGAGTGTAGGATAGTAGGACAAAGTGGTACAGACAAAACTGATCTGTTTTTATCTTAAAACCGAAGCACAGATGCACACCTTTGAAAACCAGCTTAGTCCATTCTGTGTTTGCACTACTAACAGTCTACTTAACCAGAGCAAATGATTGAAATGCCAAGAGAGAAGAAAGAAGTTTATAATGCTTTTACAATAACCTGATCAGTACTGTTTACATAGGCAATCAATAAATACTTGTTGAATTAGACTGGACTGAACACTAACAGGTAAAAAGCTTAATATAATAATGGGTACTAGAAAGACTCAGCATCCAATATGTGGTGCTGTTTTTCCCATAACCAGGATTTACATGTCCAGGAATCAGGGGGTAGAAATGGAAGTGGCACCAGCAGCCCACTAGCAAAATTGCTGCTTCCTGTTCCCATGACTTTATGATTTGCTGGCTTAGTGATATAATTTCCAAAAGGAAAAATGCTTCTACCAAGAGATGCAACAATGATGCAATTGAACTGGAAGTTAAAACTGCTACCAGGCAACTCTGGGATCCTCAAACCTCTGAATCAATAGGCAAAAAAGGAAGTTGCTGTGCTAGCTGTCATGATTGATCCTGACTACTAATGGGAAAATGGACTACTGATCCACAATGGAAAAAAAGAAAGAGTAAGTCTGAAATACAGGAAACAGATCGTTTAAGGCATTTCTTAGTATCACCATGTCCTGTGATTAAGGTCAACAAAAAACTACAACAATCCACTTCAGACAGAACTATTAATTGCCCACACCACACCTTACCCCACCCCACTGGGTAAAAAACTACAACTGGCTGAGGTGCTTGCTAAAAGCAAAAGGAATACAGAATGGGTAGTGAATGAAGATAGTTTTAAATACCAACTTACAAGCATGTGGCCACTTATAGAAATGAGGATTATAATGTCATGAGTATTTCCTACTTATTTTGAATGCATTTGTATGCAAATACCTTTGTTTTATTTGCTCCTTTACTCCCTTATCATGTAACATAAAAGGTACCGACATTACATCACAGTATTTGAGTATTGTTATTTTTATGTCCTACAATATAAGTTACAGGATATCAGGGAGGAGAGTAAACATCACTCAGACTTTACCTCCACTTCTGGGGAAGGATTTAGAGTAATATCTCTTGTACGCAAGATAGTTATATCATGTTAGGTGGAATTATGACTTTGCTATTGTCTTCATTTGGAGATTATGATTTAAGAAGATGTGTATGTGTGCTAAGTTAATTAGGAGTGTGGGCTTGTGATGGCTAATTTTATGTGTCAGTTTGACTGAGCCATGGGGTGCCCAGGTATTAAACATTCGAAGTATGTCTAGAGTATTTCTAGATGAGATAAATAATTGAAATCAGTAGACTGAGTAAGAGAATTGCCCTCCCCAGTGTGGATGGGCCTCCATTCAATCTCCTGAAGGTCTGAATAGAACGAAACAGCTGAAATAAGTAAAAATCTACTCTCTGCCTCACTGTTTTCAAACTGAGACATTGGTCTTCTCTTGCCTTCGAATTCGAACTGAAACCTAAACTATTGGCTCAGCTCTCCTAGCTTTCAAACTCAAAGTGGAACTCTACCATGGCTCTCTTGAGTCTGCAGTTTGCCAACTGTGGATCTTGAGACTTCTCTGTCTCTATAGGCGGGTCGATTCCTTACAATAAGGCTTTATTACTATATATGAGAAGAAACCCCAAAAACCCTGGAATTTATTAAAAATTGTGTATTTATTCTTACATGTTTAGACTTTAGTCACCTTCAAAGTACTCTCCGTTTGATGCAATTCACCTATTGAGATGCTTTTTCTATTGCTCAAAACAGTTCTGATGCCTTTTAATGCTTCTGCTGTTTTTTGTTTCACCTCTTCCACATCAGCAAAACATTTCCCTTTGAGAACTTTTTCGTCCAAGAAATAAAAAAAAAAGTCACTTGGGGTGAGACTGGGTGAATAGGGAAAGTGGGACACAGAAGTCATGCTATTTTGGGTCAAAAACTCTGAACACTCAGCTCAGTATGGGACAGTTGTTTGTGTAAATCACCCATCATAAAATGGGCAAATGCACTGAAAGAATCTCAGAAAGAAAAAAAAAATCACTGAAGTCAAATGCACTCTCTCTCTCTAGCTGGTATGCTGATGCCAATGGGTTCATAGAACACTTATCTACCGGAGGAAGCCCGTATTACAAAGGGGTACACCCTCCCCAAAGTAATTCTGTTTTTGTTTGTTTTTTTTAGGGGTCCCCCTCGTGTGTGTGTGTGTGTGTGTGTGTGTGTGTGTGTGTGTGTGTGTGTGTGTGTCCTATTGGTTGTTTGATAGAAAAAGGATTAAGTTACTAAATATTATTAAAAGATCTTTTAAAAGGAATCCAAATATAAACAGGTTTTTAAAATCGTTTAGATTTGCAAACTATTAGGATTCTAATCTCAATAATTTAGAAGGCACTCAACAATATCCTTCCATTTCTTTGCCTAACATGTGCCATCTTAATTCTCTTACTGTCACTTACTAAGAATATGATTACATATAGCAGGTGAGAATATTTTGTGTCATGAACAATACACTTTTCAAAAAAATAGTTATCAATATGTCCTATCCTGATATGGCCAACCTAAAACTAGAGGTTTCTAGTTTCTAGATGATTATTATAGCAGAATGCTGACTGTCAGAAATAATCTTTACCATCTTTGAGCAATCTAACAAACTCTGGTAACAGAATCAATATCCCACCATCAAAAGGCCTCTTGGCAGCGAAACAGTTCTCCTTGGCAAGAAGAATAGAAGTAATAGACAGCCCCTTGGAATAACACAATAGCAATAAGGAAGAAAATTCAAGACACATGATGCAAGGGAATGAAGAGCCTCAGAACAGTCTCTTTGAAGAAGGCCTTCAGTTTGATCTTATGATAGTAGAAGGTCTTCATCTCATGGTTGGGAAGAAATGTGTGAAGAGACTATTTTCTAGTATATTTCTCTAAGTTTACTCTCCCAATAATGCTGCTTTAAATTTTAACTGGTTCCTTGGGAAAAAAAAATTGCTATAATTTCTAAAAGTTATGTAACAAAGTACTAAAAGATACATTTTATGGTCAAATATTTAATGAACATTTACTATGCACCAGGCCCTGCACAAGAAGCAGGACATGACAATGAGCAAAATGATACATGGTTTCTGCTCTCACAAATTTTTTCCCCCTAATTAGCAGATTTGGTTTTCCTTTTTCCTTTGACTGGCAGTTTTAAGTTATATGGCTTTGAGATGTGTTAATATACCAGGACTGGGTAGCTGTTGCTAAACTATTAAATAGTTATTATGAAGACAAGACAAGAGAAATATCAGAGTAGAATAAATGAGGTGGACAATTGGAAATATGTGAGAACTTAATTTCTGAGCTTGGATAGAAAGATCTGTTACACAAAAAATAAAGTCTAAACTACTTAAAGTGTCCAAAACAATCTGAACTTGGTGCATCTTCCCAGTTAATCTTAATTCTCACTTAGGAGCTCTAACCACAATGGTCTTCTCTCAGTCCTTGACCATGCTAAGCTCCTTTCTGTATTCAAAGTTTTTGCACATGCTGTACCACCAGGGCCTTGCCCACTGCCTGTAGCATAACAGGTGCTCAATAAAAACACACAGAATGAATGAATGTATTTTTGCCTTGAATTTTTAAATGTGTCACATTAACCAAAAACTATTTATTTTTAAAAATCACCTTCCTTAAGACTTTAATTGGTTTATGACAGTAAAATATGGTTGACACTTGAACAACATGGGTTTGAAGTACATGGGTCCACTTCTATGTAAATTTTATTTTGCCTGTGCTACCCCTGAGACAGCAAGACCAACCCCTCCTCTTCTTCTTCTGCTTCAGCTTACTCAACATGAAGACCACAAGAGGAAGACATTTATGAAAATCTACGTCCACTTAATGAATAGTAAACATATTTTTTATTCTTTACAATTTTATTAACATTTCCTTTTCTCTATCTTACTTTATTGTAAGAATACAATACACAGTATTGTGTGTAGTACATATAGTATTATATACAGTACATGATACAGCACAGTATACAGTATATAATACATATAAAAAATCAACTATGTTATGGGTAAGCCTTTGGTCAACAATAGGTTATTAATAGTTAAGTTTTTGGGAGTCCAAAGTTATACATAAATCTCTGACTGTATGAGAATTGATGCCCCTCATCCCTACATTGTTCAAGGGTCAACTGTACATTATAAAGTTGTTTTTCCCACCATTTCTGTTTCAGATCACATGCATACTTTCAAAAATACAGGGTCAATTCGTTTCTAGTTCTGAGAAAGAATTATCTTTAGAAAAAGCTCTTTTGTCTCTATCATCTCTATCATCTTACTGGTCTAAAATGTTGTAGAGACTTGACCATTTAGCTTCACACTGTGGATAGGATGTTAAGCATGTAAAAAGATGCAGATGCTGCCAGACAACTTAAATAATAACAGTTATTTACAAGCATTTTTTAAAAATTCCTGAAAGGTAGTACTCATCCTAATTTGAGATACATTAAAAAATTCCTCAGAAATGAGTGGTATTCTTATGAAGCAGAATGTATTATCTTAAATTCTGTTGTTCTATTCTAAATTCTTTATTAGTTATGGCCTATTTAAGATCATGAATGGTTAATAAAATATTTACTCATATAAATAGTGTTATACACGTCTTTACATAGTTTAAGAAATTCTATTAAAATTCAGACCTCAATCATGAGAGGACACAAACATTAATTTAATCAAAGGTTTAAATGACTGATACTTGGAACTATATTTAAAATGTTTTCTTCTCTAGAAGCAATGAAATAAAATATATTTCAGAAAATGGAAGCTTAGAGAAATTAAGAGAAGGGAAAGGAACCCAAAGCTGGAAGTGGACAAAAATCCAGCAACACACATACCACAAATTCTTCATCCATTTTATTTAACGTCAATTCTGCATCATCTTCTGGAACAGTTTCTTCTTCTAATTCTTCTATTGGGTATACTGGCCTAAAATAGTAAGGCTTAATATGAGATGAGTTTAAGAAATATTTTAGTAAGACAAAAAGGTATAATGTAAATATTAAGGATCTCCTTGGTGCCAGATTTTGTTCTTATTCATCCCCTTCCATAATCATTGTTAAATGTCTTATGTATTCTTCCTAAAACTTTCTATGTAAAAAAGCAAAATATATTTGTCTCTAAATTTAAAGAATAAGCCAGGCTCGGTGGCTCAGCCTGTAATCCCGTGCCTTGGGAGGCTGAGGTGAGTAGATTGCCTGAGCCCACGGGTTCGAGACCTGCCTGGGCAGGCGATACCTCATCTCTACAATAAATAAAAAAAAAAATCAGCCGGGCATGGTAGCATGCGCCTGTAATTCTGGCTGCTCGGAAGACTGAAGCTGAAGGATCACCGGAACCCAGCAGGTCGAGGCTGCGGTGACCGGGAGTGGCCACTGCACTCCAGTCTGGGTGACTGAGTGAGACTCCAACTCAAAAATAAATAAATAAATAAATAAATTTAAAGAATAAATTTACAAATGAAATGTTACTATGCATATTGTTATTCATTAACTTTCTCTACTTACCAATATACCACATTAAACTATATAAACATCTTTCTCATTTTTTACATACCTGCACTGTAATTCATTGAAAAGCAGCACCATAATTAATGAAGCCAGCAGCTTATGACCGAACATCAAAGTTTCTGGTTTGCTAGACAATGTTGCAAAGACTATCCTTGTGCATTTATTATTACATATATAATTTAGAATAAATTTGTTCGAGTGAATGGCTGGGTAAACAACTTTGTACATATTATGGTTTTGCTAGATATTGCCAAAATACTACCCTTATTACACTCCCAACAACAGTAAAAGATAGTGACTCTGTTTCCATATATTCTCCAATACAATACATAAACTTTCATCTTTGCCAATCAACCAAGTGAAAAACTCTCATTCTTGTTTTAATTGCATTTCTTTGGCATGAAAGTAATTGAACATCTTCTCATATTTTGTTTGGTTAGTCATGCTTATTTTTCAGAGAAACGCCTATTTATGCCCTTTGCCTTTTTGTATATTAAGAAAATTAATGCTCTGCCTAAATATTGTCCATAGTTTATTATTTATAATTGTGGCTATGCAAAATTGTTACAGTTCTTATTAGACTAACTTGGCAACCTTTCCTTGCATAGACCCTAGAGCTTTTACATCATATTAATATATAGAAGGCTTTCCCTAACTACAACCCCAATACTCTGCTAGTTTTAATGTACATCTTTGATCAATCTAAAGTTGACTTTGACATAAATAATAAAAAGGGCTCCAGTTTTTTTTTTGTTGTTGTTGTTGTTGTTGTTGTTTTTTGAGTTGGAGTCTCACTCTGTCACCCAGACTGGAGTGCAGTGGCCGCTCCCAGCCACCGCAGCCTCAACCTGCTGGGCTCCGGCGATCCTTCCGCCTCAGCCTTCCAAGTAGCTGGAATTACAGGCATGCGCTACCACGCCCAGCTGATTGTTTGATTTATTGTAGAGATGAGGTCTCGCTGCCCAGGAGGGTCTCGAACCTGCGGGCTCAGGCAATTCACTCACCTCAGCCTCCCAAAGGCACGGGATTACAGGCTGAGCCACCGAGCCCGGGGGGCTCCAGTTTTTTAATTTCCAAAATCTAACTAGAAGTCCTAACACTAAAGAACAACCATTTCTTCATCAAGAGTAATGACATGTATTTCCTATACTAAAAATACCCAAATGTATTTGGGTTTATTTATGGAAACCGTTTTTAAAAATCCATACCTCAGAAATGTTAACAAAATATAAAACCAATATTTAATATTAAGGAGGGAGAGTACTATGAACCAAATTCATCTTCTCAAATAATAGGTTTCCTAATTTTTCATTTGTTAGAATTAGATGAGACCTAAAAGTTAGGATTTGTGTTGGCATATTTAGATATATAAAATAATAGTCTATAATATACAGCTTCTACATAATTTACATTCAAAATCTTCTTTTCTAGCTATTTTGAAATATACATTATCTTATTAACTAGTCACCCTACTGTACAGTGCAACACTAGAACTTAGTCCTCCTAACTATAACTTTGTACCCACCTGCTTTGACCAGCCTCTCCACATTCTCCCATTTAGCTGATATATTCTCTAATATTTATTGCTTTTCAACTTCTCCCTCTTTTACTCCTTTTATAAATTACCCAAGTCACAGTCTCTTCAAATGGATATTCACATACACAAGAGTGAAACTAGACACCTACCGCATACTACTTACAAAAAGAAAATCAAAATGTATTAAAGACTTAAACGTATAAGCTGAAACTATAAAACTGCTAGAAGAAAATCTATGAGAAATGTTTCATGAACTGATCTGGGAAAGGATTTTTTGAGACCTCAAAAGCACAGACAACAAAAGCCAAAATAGACAAATAGGATTATATCAAATATAAAAGCTTTTGCATGGCAAAAGAAACAACAGAGTGAAGAGACAACCTACAGAAAACATTTGCAAACTATGAATCTGACAGGAGGTTAATACCCAGAATATATAAGAAATTTAAACAACTCAATAGCAAAAGAAAGAACATAATCTCATTTAAAAAAAAAACAAATATTGTTTCCCCCGGGGTCTCACTCTGTCGCCCAGACTGGGGTGCAGTGGCACAATCATGGCTCACCATAGGCTTGACCTTCTGGGCTCAGGGGATCATTTCACCTCAGCTTCCTGAGTAGGTGGGACTACAAGCATGTACCACCGTGCCTGGCTAATTTTTTTTTTTTTTTTAAGAGATGGGCTCTCACTATGTTGCCTAGGCTGGTATGGGACTTCTGGGTTCAACCAGTCCTCCTGTCTTGGCCTCTCAAAATGCTGGAATTACAGGCAAGAGCTATCACATCCAGCCAGAAAAATGGGTAAAAGATTTAAAGAGACATTTCTCAAAAAAAAGACATACAAATGGCCAACAGGCTGGGAAAGACAAGGAGGAAAAGGAGAATGAGGTAAGGTTGGTTAAAGTGGGTGGGTAAAAAGTGACAGATAGAAAGAATAAGTTCTAGTATTCCACTGTAGAGTGACTACAGTTAATAATATATTGCATATTTTAAAATAGCTAGAGAGAATCTGAATGTTCTCAGCATAAAAAAATAAATACATGAAGAAATTGATATGCTAATTTCCCTAATTTGATCATTGCATATTGTGTGTGTGTGTGTGTGTGTGTGTGTGTGTGTAGAAAAACATCACATTGTACCCCACAAATATGTACAATTTGTAGCTATAAGTTCCCTCCATGTATATACTGTGCTTGTGTGAGTAAAACAATATATGCACAGAGACTTTTTAAAAATTTACCTACATTGATAAAAATATAGTCACAGTTAAACCTTTAATAATTATGTATTTAAACAGAGAAAGGATACAATAATATCTAACACATTACTTCAGAACTAGTTTTGAAGACCTGACATTCCAATTTTGTCTTTACTGGCTTTTCTTAATTACCAGTGGCACTTTTAGTTTAGAAGAGACATGAGGAAATAATTATTTTATGTTCAATTAACCAACTCTGCACTCTCAGAGGAAAATACTAAGCTTGTAAAATTACTTATTAGGTCAGATAATTTGTACCTTTTCCAGGTGAAACCAATATATTTCAATGCTTCTTCAGTTAAACAATCAAGAACATAGCATACATGCTCGCCATAACCTGACTTTAATTTTGAAGGAGGAAAATCTGCAGTTCTCCCCTAAAAAACAAAAGATAAACAAGGGATTATTTGTTGGTTACACTCCAAATGTCAAAATATCTTAAGCAAAGAAATACTGAATAGATGTATCACTTTTCTTTCAAATTATTTACAATAACTGTAATTACACTGCTTTTTAGAAATCCATCTCATGTCTTTTTAATCCACTGATACATAAAAAAGCTGAAAATGAAGACATTTTATTGCTAAAAGTATCAAATTAAAAGGCAATAACATCACAGCAGTAGAACAGATCTTGTTGGAGTGAAAAAAAAAAAATCAGTAAAACTACTAGCTTGGTAACGTATCGTTTAAACAACTATGAGAAGGACAGAGTGATTCACTTGTCAAAAATTAATAACACATGTGCCAAAAATATCTTCCTGCCTGGGGACAGGAAAAGTCAGAAATGAAAAGTACAACTGTTATCATGGTCTATTAAGTCTAAGTTACCTTTCAAAATACAAAGAGTTTTGACTTCATCGTTTTTTCTTAATCATTTCTTGGAGGGAGAACCAACCACCCATAACTTTACCTCTGAGACACAGCAAGATTAAAAAATATAATGTTACTCTGGGCTATAAAGACTATGTACCAAACATTTTCAAAAGTGACACTAAAGTTATAATGCCAACCATTCTGAGAAGGTTTTACTTGAAAATAAATTTAGATATAATCATATTCATATTCACAGAAATGGCTAGCATTTGTTATTAAATATCCAATATTAAAATTCATAACTTGAGAACATGCAGAAAGAAGAGAGTTGTTTACACTTACAAATGACCGAAGCTCAGATAAAATGTTAGATATTGTTGCATTAGGGTCATCATATTCTTGAGGCTGCTCAAAGGGATGTCCTGCTTTGTTAATCAACCAAGCAGCAAGAGTGCAAAACATGTAGAATTGTTCACCAGGGTTGGTAGGCAGTGCAAAATAGTGTCTGTGTCAAAACAAGGAGAAATGGGGGTTGTGAAATAGTGCAAATAAGTCTGTAATAACTAATGGGGCCAAATTAAAAATTGCCAAAGAAACTTTTTTCCCCCTAAAGGGCCATCAAATCAAAAGACTTTGATAATTCACCCTTTGAAGTTTCCAGTAATCCACAGCCCTCAGATTAAAGTTTTTAATCAGCAGAATTAGGGCAATCACTCCTATACACAAAATATCAGATCAAAGACCTTACACGCAGGAAACATGGTGCCTGTTAGAAAGCAAGGCATGTGGAATTTCTGACAAAATCATTTCAGTGTCAGGAATAATGAACAAGTACTTTATTAATGAAAATGGTAATTTGGAATTAAGAGAATCTCAGAGATTAAAAAAAAAAATCTTAAAAATACTCCCTGTGCATTTTTACTGTTTCAAACCTATCAGCTACATTAGATATTTGCTTTAGGCTTGGCTTCACACTGAAATCACCTGAGGAGCTCATAAAAATACTGGTGCTTGGCCAAGCATTGCTTCTTCCCTCATCAACGGATTAAATCAGAAGTTTTGGGAGTTGAGCCCCAGTATGGGTGTATTTCAAAAGCTTCCTACATATTTACAAGGTACAGCCAGGATTAAGAACCTGTGAATGTTACATCCCTAGTCTAAAATATTTGTTGACTTTTGCTAGACCCCCTAGTCTATTAAAAACAGTCCTATGAGGATCAGAATGATTTATACCTAAACGTGATAGGAATAAAACTCACTAACAATGTTCAAGTCAGTGTGATCAGTGATCTTACTTTGCTTTTTTATGTGTAGCTTTCACTATTAAGTTTATTACGTATTTATAGCTATGATAACCATTGTCATAAGAATCGGCCTACTCCTTCATGCTTTCCTAACTTTTTTCTGCAGGGTAAGTGTAAATATTCTGGAAGATAATAACAGGGAAGAAAAAACAAAAAACCATGAAATCCTTCCAGGTATATTCTAACAACTTTTTCAAGGCACCCACTCAACAAAAACATATCTTTTTTCTTATTGGCTGATAACTCCTCACTGTAAACCTAGGACAGTGGTTCTCAGTGTGCATTAGAAACACCTGGAAGTCTTATCAAAACACACACTGCTAGGCCTCACTCCTAGAATTTATGGTAAAGGTAGACCTGGGAAAGGGCCTGAGGAATTTCACTTCTAGTAAGTTCCCAGGTGATGCTGATGCTGATGGCCGGGTGATCACACTTTGAGAACCATTGGTCTAGGATATCTCCAAACAAATCCACAATTCAAAGTATCCTACTAAATCCCTGAGGACACAGTACAGAGATGGTATCAACAGAAACTTAAGGTCAGTTTTTCCTAGTTTGAAAAATATACTTGGAAAAAAATGCATTTTATTAACATACAAAATATTGGTTGTCTATACTATCCTGATCAATTCATTTTAAGGAATAGTCTCAGGCCTACCATTTCTAACATGGTTCAAGCAACACCACTTTTTCCTCTATCATTTCCCCTATTATGGGCTAACTTAGTAATATGGAGAGTTTACATAAAGTCTACATATCTTTCCATTGAAGTTTTGGAAATAACAGAAAAATGAGCTAAAAAATGTTCAGGGAAATTATTTGAGCCTGGCTGTAGACATTAAGAAAAAGTACTATAGATTCTTAATATTAATTGCCTGTTGTAGAATAAAATAAGCAAATATAAGTATTAAAGTGAAGGGAAATCTATAACAGTTATTTATTTGGCTATGGCTAAGCTACAGTCAAAGAAAATGTTAGCTGCCCCTTACCCTCAGCGACTAAAGGCATTGCATTCAGGATGTTCTAGACCTTTCCCCACAGAATAAAAGCAGAACTTCAGGTTCTATGATAAGGGGACAAATCCAGTAGCTGTCATCTCGTCTTTTCCACTTCTCAGTTTCTGAGAGTATGGTTATGGTAAAGGCAGAAATCTTGTAAAACGTAGCAAGTAGTCAACAAGTTTACTGCAAAGGCAGAAGTCTTTCCAACCATCGCAAGGAGTCAACAAGTTTACGAACTGCACAGAAAGTGCTCCTCAGCGAGGTCCTAGGTAGCCACCGATCGCCAGCCGTAGGGACAGGGTCTTGCAAAGGAAAACAAAACCTAGAAAAAGACTTAAATGATAATGGCATCCATCTCAGGAGAAGAGATGACGGGCGATTTTGGTATTTATTTATTCTGGAAGATAATAGCAAACATATATATTTTCTTGTGCTTTTCTGAGTTTTCTACAAAGGATATTTTTATGATCTTTATAGCCAGAACACACAGTTTGTGTTTTGAGGAGGTGCGTGTGTGTCTTTAAAAACGGGCAAGCTGTCTTCCAGTCCTTTCTGTCGTTTCAGAACTTGTTTACGCTCTGCAAAAAAACCAACTCTGAGTTCCGTGGGCTCCTCGGCCCCCTGGCTAGGAAGAGGGAGGCAAGGACTTGCTAACCCGCGCTCGGCGTCCCCAGGGCCCAGACGAAACCCAGTCGCTTGGGGGAGGAGGGACCCACCTGGACGGGGGCTTCAGGTTGTTCTTCCGGAGGAGCTCCTCCTCATAGCGGAGCAGCTTCAGCTTCTCCACCAAGTACTCCATCACCACGAACATGTGGTAGGCCGCGCCGGGTCCCCGCTCCACGACCACCTCCCCGGCCCCTTCGCCACGGGACCTGGGCACCCCATCCTCCAAGCCCGGCGGCGTGACCACGGCCGCGGAAGCCGCCATCGCAGGACCAACAGAAAAAGCCCAGCGCCGGTTCCGCCCCACAGACCTCTGCGGCCTACGCCGCCTGCGTTGGCGCAGCCAGGACCGCCGCGACCCGTTACCAGGCGACCACCGGACAACCCGTCACCAGGGTAACTCGACTCCGCCTCCTTCCCGCCGTCAGTCTTCTAAATTCTGTCCAATCAGAATGAACTTTCTTCGTGACGTCACACTGGGCCCTCTCCTTCCCCCGCCTCTGAGCAGGAGTTGGTCAGAAGGCATCCCCGCCCCTGATGCGGGCGTGGCGTCCCTCACGCCCCGCCCCTCAGCACCTCCTTCTTCTGCAGCTTAAAGGCGGGGGAGGGACGCCTTGCGTGTTTGCTCCGCTGGCCTGGTAACTTAATAGGCGTGTGGTGTGTTGGACCAGTGGTTTCTGAAGGCAGCTGAGCGGGCATCTCGGTCAGCTAGGAGCAGTTAAAAACATTCAAGGGAGATGAAGGCGTGCAGTATTGACGGCTCCTTTAGCCCATTGATACCTCTATTTTCTCAAAATTGAAAAGTTTTCATATGAAGATAGTTGATGTCATAGGTTTCACTTGACCGCAGGATCTTTGCAGCAAGAAGTTTTTTGGCTTTTTTAAAGCTTGATCTTTCTCTCATATTAAGCAATACTGTACTAAAAGAACAGTATATTGTAAGGCTTAAGATTCTGTATTGCAATGCCCCGCTGTAGCTCCAGTGCTAGGAAAGAAGTCAGTTGGGAGGGGTGGGGAAAGGAAAACACACACACACACACACACACACACACACACACACACACACTCAGGATGAGCAAGAGGACGCACTGGGAAGGATTTGTTTTATTTCAGTAACAAGAATGCTAAGCTCACATCCTTGGCTTAATCTGTTTCCAACCCATATCATGTAGTACAAAGTTTTGGAGTACCTCGTTAAAGCCAACAAAATAAAGATTATCTTAAAAGGAATTTCCGTGCCCTAGAGCTCCAAGTGTGGCTAAAGACAGGGTGTTACTACTATAGTCTGCAGCTATTGATCTGGAAAATACAAGAAAGGAGACATAACTGATCACAGATATGGCCCAACTTTAGCTTTCAAAAGGCCTGTGTATCAGGCAATTTTCCTAACAGCTATAAAAAAATGAGGTAAGTGCTAGATGCCTGGTGGTTTTCTGGATGAAGATTACTTAATGCGAGAGATTGAACATGGGTTTGTGTTTGTAATGTGACTTTTAAGGGATCTCTGATCTCTTGTATCTGTCACTTAGAGGATATAGAAGAGTCGCAGTTTTGTGACATAACTGAAATTTGCAATGTACCTATCTTTGTGTTTTTTGTTAGAAAAGTGAGAAAAGCATGCTTTTCATTTTAGTCAGTCTATGGCTAACTTGTTTCTGATAATAATAAAGGTATCAAAGTGGAAAAATCCAGGAAGCAAATACCATTTTCTATTCATCAAATAAAGGATGTACATAAAATTACTGATTGATGTAGACATTAACCTAAAGGGGAAGCCCACTGAGAACTGCTTTTTAAAGAATTAACTGCATTTGCCTACAAGTCACTAACCAGCTGTTTTTAATAAAGATGAGAGGGAAAATGGGTTTGATGCTACCTCACTGCCGAATTGTTCTTTTCTTTGCCTTCATAGAACAGTAATTCCCCCCATACTTCCACACCCCCTACCACATGTGTAGGTTGGGAAGCGAGTTGTGGTACATCTGTATAATATTCAGAGTAGTGTAAGATAGATGCATGGCTTTACAGGATTAAAACAAATGAAAGCTCAGATATATGATTGGGGGCACTTGGTTTTTTAAATGACTCTCAAAAAGCTCTCAGACTTTAGAAGTAAATTAGATGCATCGGGGAGATAGACGTTTACGAAAATGCTGCCTACATAAGGTGTTCTGACATTTTCAGGAAGTTATATAACTCAGTATGAAAAGTTAAACATTGCTTTTTAGCTGACAAGAAACCCTCCAACAGCATATGTATTTTAACTTGGGAGAAAATAAAACCTCTCCCAGAACCTTAGCTGTTTCAATACTGATGCAGCCTGGCTCAAAAGCGGTATGAAAAAGAATTTTTCTCTTTAATCGAGAAGAAGAAAAAAAGAGACTAAAATATAAATTGTCCCCAGTAATTGCAACACAGAGAATGAAAGAAAAGAAGAGCTAACTGTAAAACAATGCATGTTTTCTCCCAGAAAGAAAAAAATGTGAAGAACGCCAAAATGTCATTCCATTTTGTAAGACCAATGAATTATTTTCACTGATTTCTTGTTTACTTATAATAGTTGGTAACACATCAAAGGGTCTTTTTCTTGGTAGTCGTTTTCTTTATGTGTGGGAAAATGCACACTCAAATCCTCTTCTAACTGTTTTGTGGAGTACATTTGTATTACATTTTTGCAGAACTAACTCACTCGTTGACTAAGGAGTTAGAACCTGAAGAGGGAGGAACATTGAGGTGTGTTCATTCTTTTTGTAAAGAATCTTAAGAGAAGTTTATCCCCAGTTTGACTGTATTGACTACTATTAACAGCTGCCTTCTGACTTTGACTTTTATTCTTTGCAAACTGTGAAGTGATTGGAGGTAATTTCTAAGACCCTTAGATCTTTCTGCAAATCTCTGAAAACTACATAGCATCCCAGTCGAAGCTGATTTAAGCTAAATAGATTTCCCTAAAAGGTGCTTAGCAAGCCTGTGTGTGAAAGGGAAACTGGTTCAGAGATAGAGGCAGGCTTTCCAGCTGCATCTCCAAACAGAAGAGAAAGTCCTCCAAGAAGCCTGGGCAGGCTTAAAGAACAAAGCTGCACTGTGTTATGAATGACTTAGTACCACCCATTGGGATGTTAAAAACTTAGAACACCACTAATTGAATCCAACTCCCTTGAAACTATAAGGGAAGAAAAACTTTTTTCCTACCCTCTTTGGTTTCGTAACTGGGTCCGAGAATTAAACTGACACAACACAGATTAACAGGAAAAAAGCTCACACATTTTATGTAATATTTTTACATGCACATGGAAGCCTATAGAGGAAAAATGAAAATGCAAAGAAGTAGTTAGGCCCAAGAGCTCATATAACTTTTTTAAAAAATAAAAATGATACATTTGTAGAGAAGTAACAACACTAAGAAAAAAGGATAAGCTTGATACATTGTGGATAAGTGACTAGGAAATATATATGTAAAAGTGATGGAGGATAGATTATTTTAATAGGTTTGTTTGTGTAGACCTATTTCAGCTCAGTTTCCAGTCTCCAGTCATAAAAATGTTATTCTCTTCTTGGTATAGGGATGGCTAGTTTCTCAAGGCAAATTTTGTGACTTGTTTTTAGGTAGCAAGAGAAAAGTCAGACAGCCTTTCGCATCTGCTGTATCTCAAGTGCCTTCAGTTCAAAATAATCAATATGCAGCAGCGGCATATTTTGGGGTTACATTTCAAAACCCCATTTAACATAATAAAAAAAATCTGCCAAACTTCTAGACATTAAAAATTCATATTCATATTTCTATGTAAATCATTAGAAATGATGCCTTGCAAAGCAGGGTAAAGACAACCACTCTTTAGAACTGTATATTAGAGATTAGAGCCTGTACTAAAGCAAAAAAACAAAAGAATGAGTGAGTAATTATTGCAGAATAAGAAACTTGCAGGAGATCTGAAAAATCCAGGAGAATCTACAGGCAAGCTGTTGAGATAGCCCAGCAAGTTTGTCATATATGAGATTCAAACTAAAGAACTGGAGATAATTAGAAAAGCAAACAAAAACCTTAGTAACAAACAACTCATAGCACCCAGGAATAAACCTATCATTATCTTCATGGAGAAATTGTTAAAATTCACTGAAAGTTTTAGAAAAATTCAAATAGGTATAAAATGTTCATGAATAAGAAAAATCAGTATCTTTGCTCAATCTATAAACTTAGTGCAGTTTTAACTAAAGTTCCAAGACAACTAACTGATCCTGAAATTCATCCAGAAGAGTGCAATTTAAAGAAGTATAAGGAAGAAATCACAATATCAAATAGAAAGATTCCTAATAAAAATATATCTTAATGATATCAGAAGAGTAAATAAAAACAGAGAGAGCCTGAAGTAGATGATATTTTACACAGAAACTCAGTGCACAGCAGAGTTGATGTTACTAACTAGTGGAGAAAGATGAAGTATTCACAAAATGCCATTGAAACTATGGGTTATCCATATACAAATAAAATTACATTTCTAATTCCCATCACATAAATTCCAGATGGATTTAAGACATAAATGTGAAGTATTTTGTAATATGTTTAGAAAAAAACAAAATAACCTCTGTGTAGAAAAGGATTTCTTTAAAAAAAAAAAAAAAGAAAAAAAAAAGGAAGAAGAAGAACAAATTTTAAAAGAGAAACTCATCAAAATGTAAGGACCTAGATACAAAATAGGGCTTTATAAACAAGGAAGAAAGAAAATATTTGTGACCCTATAATGTCAATGGATTAGTCTCCAGGATACACAAGTAGATCATCTCAAAGCCTCTGTGCCAAGCTGGAGGATTTTAGCTGTGTTCTTCTAGGTCAGGGTTTCTCCATCTCAGTACTATTGACATTTTAGGCTAGATAATTATTTGTTGGAAGGGATGGGGGAACTGCTCTCTGAATTGCAGGATGTTTAACAGCATCTCTATCTTCTACCCACTAGATGCCAATGGTATCCATCCCTAGTGGTGACAACCAACAAATGCCTGTAGACACTGCCAACTGGTCCCTGAGGGCCAAATCACCCCTGATTGAGAGCTACTAGACTAAATGCACTGGTTGAAATAACAAATTATTTCATAAGGACCAGGCATGTAAAGGTAAATGAGTGGCATGTGTGTGTGTGAGGGCACTATGGGAAACTCACGCACCATCTCAAGGAGGGGGCATTTTTGTCAGGCAGGCATGCAGCCCAGTTTATTGATGTGTTATGAAGAATCTTATTCTAGATTTGTATGTCATTGTAAGATCCTAATGCTCTTGAGGGTGATCTTTCTGCACAGAAAATATGCCAGGGACTATTAAATATATTTGATTTAAATATAACTAAATATATTTGATTTAATAATGAATTAAAGTTCAAAATTTAGGAGATTAATATTCAAATCTGATTCAATTTATAATTGTGGTAAATTTTTTACAGTCAAGTTTAAGGATGGAGGTTACAACTTACATTCCTGGAGGTTTTAAATTGTTTATAAG